GAGGGTAAGTTCTTTCAGATAAAACCCTGCCATCTTGTAAAACAGAGACCAGGCAGGGATGGGAGGAGATGAGAGTATGCGACTAACAATTAATTCAGTGGTTGTAGGAAGCTCTGAGCATCAGAAGGCCTTCAGGGTGGGAACTGAACAGGGAGAATGTTCTGGAAAGGGTGGAAAAGTTCAGCATCCCAAAAGGAGCGAACCTAAGGACTTTGACCAGCTGGGATGATTTATTCCACCAACCCTGCATGACTTCCCTTTATTCTCTAAGTAAGAATATTTACTCTGAGCCCAGCCCTGTTCTGGGAAAAGAGAGTGTGATAGCCTGATTGATCCAGGGATGCTCTTTCTTCTAGGTCTTTTCCTTTTTATCTTTCGTTCTCTTCCTCCTAAAAAGGCATTTATTACTCTTTTTGTCAGTTCAGGCTGCTAAAACAAACACCACAGACTGGGTGGTAATCAACAAACGTTAATTTCTCACTGATCTGGAGGCTGGGAGGTCCAAGGTCCAGGTGTGGTAGAGCTGGTGTCTGGGGAGAACACTCTTCCGGGTTGCTGTGTCCTCATCTGGGGGAAAGAGAGTTCTAGTCTCTTTCTTTTCTTAGAAGGACGCTAATTCCATCATGGAGTTCCATCCTCACGCCCTCATCTAGACCTCAGCACTTCCCAAAGACCCAGCTTCCAGACACCATCACATTGACGATTAGGGTTTCAGCACATGATTTTGGGGGGGACACATTCAGCCCATGGCAATGGCGCATGAACTTTCCGTGTGCTCTGACAGGTGGAGGAGAAGAGAGCTTAAATCCAGGATCACTTTGGTTGAGGATCATCCTGGTGGGCAAAACAGGCAGCGGGAAGAGCGCCACCGGGAACAGCGTCCTCTGCCAGCCAGTGTTTGAGTCCAGGCTGGCGGCCCAGTCGGTGACCAGGAAGTGTCAGGGCGCAACGGGCACGTGGGATGGGAGGAGCGTCCTGGTGGTGGACACGCCCCCCATGTTTGAGGCAAGGGCCCAGGACCAAGAGGCGTACGAGAACATCGGGGACTGCTACCTGCTCTCGGCCCCGGGGCCTCACGTGCTGCTGCTGGTGACCCAGCTGGGGCGCTTCACAGAGCAGGACGTGGTGGCCGTGATCAGGGTGAAGGAGGTCTTTGGGGCGAGAGCCCTGAGACACACGGTCATCCTCTTCACCCACAAGGAGGACTTGGGGGACGGATCCTTGCATGACTACGTGGCAAACACAGACAACGTCAGGCTGAGGGCCCTGGTCCGGGAGTGCGGGCACAGGTACTGCGCCTTCAGCAACCGGGCCTCCGGGGACGAGCAGAGGAAGCAGCTGGCCGAGCTGATGGCCGTGGTCGAGGGGCTGGAGAGGGAGCTCCAGGGCGCCTACCTCAGCAACGACCTCTTCTTTGATGCACAGCGGCTCCAGCAGGGTGGGGGCGACCCCCATGGAGAAGGTCACGTGCGCTACCTGGCCAAGGTGCGGTCGCATATTGCAAGGCAAAAGCAAGGCCTGAGAGAGGCCCAGAGAAACGGCGCCTTCAAGGCGCTCCTGCGAGTCAAGCGCTGGGCCGCCGTGCACGATGCTCTTTGTGTTTGTCTTGTCTGGGGCAGCGTACTTTTCCTTCTTATTCTGCTGATCATCTGGTATCATCTTTAATTCTCCTCCGTCTCATCTGTTTGTCAGAGGCTTTTCTAAAGTATCACCTCAAGGATTCTTTGTTCGTTTCAGAAATAAATTCTGTTGGTCTGCAGAGGACATGGTTTGTCACCTCCGTGGCTCCCATCTTCCTTGTAGGTTTCTGGCTCGGTTCATGCCTCCACCAGTCCCTCGGTGAAGCCACGTGCCTCAGAGGAAGATGACGATGGCTCAGTTCGAGGGTTGCCTGGCTGGTCTATATACAATCTCATTTTCTTTGTAGTGAGCAGCTCAGGCACAGGCCTGAGACCCAATTCAGGCCAATGGGAAGTGAGAAAAAGTCTGCAGAGCTGGGGCCAGGTTTCTGCTTGCCCAGGAAAGACCCCCATAGAGAGACAGTCTCTTCCTCCTCTGAGCATTGTTGGACCTGAGTGTAATGCTTGGAATGACAGCAGCCGTGGGGCTACCGACCTGAGGTTGAAGCCAAGCAGAATGATGGAGTCAGCCCGAGCCACTGACTCCACCGCCTTGAAGCTTGCACTGTCTCTGGGTTTCCAGTATGTCAGCCAATAAATTCCCTTATTGCTTAAGCTACTGGAGTTTGGGGTCTCTTTTATCTGCATTTGAAAACATCTGAACTAGTGAAGCGTTCTCCATATCCTTTAAAAAAAATCCTTAAATCTATCAGAACTTCCCTGTTTTCATGCTTCCTGTGAGTAAGTGAATCGAGACTAAGTAAACGAATTTCTCTTTTCTTGTTCCCAGTATCAGGAAGGACCTCCCTCTACAGCCAAATTTCCTGCTTAGAGTAGACATTCACTGAATCCTGAAGAAAGTGAAAAATCCCTAGAGTCGTATTATTTTGGAAATGACAAAAGGAGGGGGCAGAGTAAATGGGACGATCCCGAGGGGGGTCTTTTCCATGCTTCGTTTATCCTTTGAGGGAGAAACAGAGCCACATTTGAACACTTTCCAAGGAGTTACTTTGGCGAACATTCACGTGTGAGCACAGGCTGAGCAAAACCCTTTCTCCTTCTCTGCAGTAAAGTATCCTTGGGTTAACCCTCCGGCTTTATTCCTCTTGGAAATCAACAAAGGTGGAATGTCGTCCGGATCACTGGGCAACGCTGCTCCTGGGGAAAGAGATGACTTCCTGGTGCGGGGAGGCCTGGGAATGGACCATCTACACGCCTGGAGGGAGACCATCCTCCTGCAGCCCTGCTCTCTAATACTTTCTTGGGCCGAGTTCCTGCCTGGTAGGGATGCCTTCCCTGGAGGGAGGATGAGACCGCCCCGCCCAGAGGGCTTCAAGGACGGCACAACCAGCTCCAAAGTCTGCCTTCCTCTGCGCAGCCCACTCTCCCTCTGAGGGTCCGGGACAGTGCAGGGAGCCACTGTCACAGGGAGGCAAGATGGAAACCTGGCTCCCTCCCGACCTTGCTGCTAGTGCCCACACTGTGTCAGTTCCACCCCGTCGGTGTCGCCCCTCCGCGTTCTCTCCTCTCCTTCCCCACGCCTCGTGTTAGGGCGCAGACTCTGATGGCCAAGATGGAATCCTCTTCTTCTGAATGGTATCCTTTGTTCTCAGGCTTACACTTATTTAGTCCAATGGCCACATTGCTGCAGCATGGTCTTCCTAAAATTCCTAATTTGCTTAAAAGCCTCGGGGAGGTAGCCCTTGAACCCTGGGGGTGACGCCCAGGGCCCCGCCAGGCCAGGTGCCTCCCTGCATCCCTCCTACCAGGATTCTCATTCCCCTCGTTGAGCGTGGGCTCCCTCCTCCTGAGTGAGTCCCGGGAGGGAGGGGCCGGCACATTCCTAGAAGCCCAGCCCTGGCTAGGTTGCCTCTGCCCACCCCCACCCCCACCCCCCACCCCCCCTCTGAGCCCGCCCCCTCCTTCTGGCTGACGCATTTCTCTCATACGCATTTTTATATGCCTTTATCCCCCTACCGCGCTGAGCATAGAGCCCGACACTCTGCTCACAAGGGTGTTGGTGGAGCGGGACTGAATGAAGACAAGGAAGGGAGAGACCGAGTTAGGTCGGACCGTTTGGAAACACTGCATTGAGGAGTGGGTCCTTGGTCTGAGAACGCAAGAGTTCCTTGGGGTTTCAAGAGTTTGTGGAGCTCAGACATAGCACTCCTTGCACAAGATTGGAATCAGTTATGGGGTAGCGCTGTAGAGACCAACACGCACCTTAGAACCAGTGGAGGTTTGCAGAATGACGCTTGGGCATCACAGTCAAGTTCCTGAGATTCTAGCGTATTCATCACTTGCCCATCCAGTCACAGGCTGCCTGGGACGACTGCGGGTCTCCCCTACAGGGTACGAAGCAGGGGCTGGGGGCGGCGGCTATCCCAAAGGAGAAGCTCAGAGGGGCCGCACAGGGCCCTCCTCTTCGGATTTCCTGTTTCCACTGACTTCGTGACTTCTGCTCAGATTTCACGCCAATGTCTGCCCTCTTCTCTTTGCTACCATTGAAATGGGCAACGCCACCCTTTCCCCAAATTTCTGCAGGTATCACACACGATTGTGCTGACTTTGGGGTTCAAGATGTTCCACTACATCAGAGCTCAACCCATGATGGAAAACTTCCTAAGACGGGGGTCGGCTAACCGCAGGCTGCAGACCTAATCCGGGCTGCCGCCCGTTTTGCATAACCTGTGAGCTAAAAAAGGGCTTTTACACGTATTGAAGGGTGAAGAAATCAAAAGAAGCAAAACGTTTCACATATGAAAAGTACATGAAATTCAAATTTCATAAAGTCGTATGGGGATGCAGCCTCGCCTGGCACCTGCATCTTGTCCACCGCGGCTTTTGCGCTGCAAGGGAACCGTTGAGTGGCTGCAATGGAGACCAGATAGTCGGCTAAGCCTGAAATACTACCCTTACAGTCTGGCCCTTGCCAAGCCCCGCTCTAACAAATTCCAGTTCCTTAATTCCCCAGGCACTGACTCTGCACAGACCCCATTCCTCTTCTCCTCACCCTCAGGCCCCTCCCCCTTTCTCCCTCAGCCTCTTCAGGCCCCAGAGACCACCCCCGCCCCCCACCGAAATGTCCTCATCTTTCTCTCTTGCGGGGGGGGGGGGGGGTGTGCCTTTTTATTTTTTTTCCCACATCCCACAAGGAAGTCAGAGTACGTTTCTGAATACAATAAGGAATTCCACTACCAGCTTTTAATATAACATGTTTCTCTCCTCAACAGCAAGGCTGTAAAAAGTAGGTCACAGAGGTGAGATGCTCACACAGCGTGACAGTCCACTCACTTTCCTTCCTGCAAGCTCCCTAATATTTCACGACTGTATCCAGTTAGTTTATTATTTGCTTTCACCATTTTTAACAAAACAAAAAGGGAATTTTCCTTTGGATTTTATTTACCTAAAAAGCAACTGAAGAAAATGGATGGTGTGTCCGGTGCAAGGAAGGGAAATTGAAAGTGAAACTACACGAAAAGCAAATAAAGTTCCTTATCAACATAGACAAAGATACTGACTCTGAAAAAATGGAAGCTGATGGCAGGTATCATCTGAAAATGCTCAGCATTCGCGAGTGCTACACAAGCTAATTAAAATGGCAAGCAAACTCAAAAAGCATATAACAGAAACAGCAAATATTCCGATGTGAGAGACGATCGAGCGCTTGACTCGCAGGAGCGCCTTGAAGGCGCCATTTCTCTGGGCCTCTCTCAGGTCTTGCTTTTGCCTTGCAATATGCGACCGCACCTTGGCCAGGTAGCGCACGTGACCTTCTCCATGGGGGTCGCCCCCACCCTGCTGGAGCCGCTGTGCATCAAAGAAGAGGTCGTTGCTGAGGTAGGCGCCCTGGAGCTCCCTCTCCAGCCCCTCGACCACGGCCATCAGCTCGGCCAGCTGCTTCCTCTGCTCGTCCCCGGAGGCCTGGTTGCTGAAGGCGCAGTACCTGTGCCCGCACTCCCGGACCAGGCCCCTCAGCCTGACGTTGTCTGTGTTTGCTACGTAGTCACGCAAGGATCCGTCCCCCAAGTCCTCCTTGTGGGTGAAGAGGATGACCGTGTGTCTCAGGGCTCTCGCCCCAAAGACCTCCTTCACCCTGGTCACGGCCACCACGTCCTGCTCTGTGAAGCGCCCCAGCTGGGTCACCAGCAGCAGCACGTGAGGCCCCGGGGCCGAGAGCAGGTAGCAGTCCCCGATGTTCTCGTACGCCTCTTGGTCCTGGGCCCTCGCCTCAAACATGGGGGGCGTGTCCACCACCAGGACGCTCCTCCCATCCCACGTGCCCGTTGCGCCCTGACACTTCCTGGTCACCGACTGGGCCGCCAGCCTGGACTCAAACACTGGCTGGCAGAGGACGCTGTTCCCGGTGGCGCTCTTCCCACTGCCTGCTTTGCCCACCAGGATGATCCTCAATGAGGACGAGGTTGCAAACAGCTTATTTTCTATCCCGCCTATAAAAAAAAAAAGAGTTTTTCGTGTTTTACTAAGTCAGTGATTTAAAAAATTTTTTATTTTATCTTGGAGTTTAGTTTATTAACAATGTTGTGTTAGCTTCAGGTGTGCAGCAAAATGATTACGCTATACATATACGTGTATCTATTCTTTTTCAAACTCTTTTCTCATTTAGGTTATTTCGGAATATTAGCAGAGTCCCCTGTGCTATACAGTAGGTCCTTGTTGGTAAAGTTAGTGATTCTTAAGATTTTTAGGTCACGGACCTTTCATGGTATCTCATGAAAGCTATGGACCTCTCTCCCTGCCAAACAGTGATATTTAAATACATACAAATGTTTGCAGACAACTTGAGGCGACTCTTGAATGGCAGGAAGCCCACACTGGGAGCCCGAACTTGGACGCATAGCCAGGAGTAAGAACCGCTACACTGTGAAGGATGCTCCAGGGGCTTCCTCAGGACCAGGGAAAACACAGCTTTCAGAAAGCTGGTCCCTGAGCTTTTCCAGGGATCGTGCTTAGCCCAGTTTCATGCTAAATAAACGTGAGATTAGAAAGAGGTGGAGGATGAGAAGTCATCAGTGAGAAACTATGATCACCTCTCTTTCCCCCACCAATTAATTCCCAGGCACACAGGCTGCCAATCACATTCATCTGAACCTTGGGGGTAAAGGAAGTCTCAGATGTCAGAGCTCCAGTGACCTACCACCGAGGACCAGCTGAATGGCCCTGGGTTTCCTCTTTTTGGGTGGGGAGTTGGATGTTTGAACGTGAGCCTACAGAAGGCTTGTCGTTAAAGTCAAGGACGGAGTCTTGTGACGGGACACGCTGTCCCAGAACATACAGTTTCGATTGTAATACTTGGAATTAATGATGGAATGTTTTGGTTTAAAACTGTTTGCACCGTAACTGCTTTTATTGCTAACCGCCTGACTTGGCTGCTGTGAAATTGAGCTTTTCTTGCCAGCATAATGTGAACAGGAAGACGCTGGGTTCCGGATGGCCGACCCAATAGTTCAAAATTAGAACGAACATCCTGTTACCCTGGGATATAAAAACCACACCCGTACAAGACTCGGGGTCTCACCCTGCTTGTGGTGAGGCCCTGATCGGTTTGCGCTTTTGTGCGTAATAAACGCCTATCACTAATCTACTTTGGATTTGCACTGGATATTGGTGTTCTGTCTTGGTTCTGATTCCTCTCCGAGGGAAGTTCGCAGGTGTGTGTGAGACTGCAACAGTCTGACAGATGACCCTGGATCGGTGGCTGAGGAAGAAATGATAAGACCATCATGTGTAAGAAACACATGCGTTGGAAAGATCGTCAATTTGGCTGATAGAATGACAGGAAATTAGAACAAAAGTGGTGTTGTCGAGGGTGACCCTGCATCAAGAGCTAAAATCTTCAAGGGATGAAGAGAGTGAGAATCCGAGGATTTCTGGAGTTCTTAGGAGCTCAGATGAATTAAGTTCATTTTAGTCTCCTAAAATCTGTTATTGTTATTCCTTTTACCCTGTGTTGGTTCTTCCCTTTCTTAAGTATCCTGGACTTTTTTTTTAGCAAACACCATTTACTAAATCTTTATGGGGAAGTTTTCCTCTTTTCAGTTGAGTGCAGGCAGGGAAGGATATCATTTTCACAATTCGTTTCCAAGTCCCCTGACCTCTGACTTGAAGTTTCATTTCCTCATTTCCCATACATCACAGCCCAGGGGAGAGCTTCACACTCGGGTGTGTGTGCTGTGATGATGGTGGGGAAGATAAGAACATGGTAGCTGCCTTTTCTTCTGCAGTGGAAAACAACTGGGTTTCTTTTCTGTCACTGTGTTTGAGGTGAGGGAAAGGAGGAGAGAAAACAGTGACTCTTCCCTGATGCCTAGAGCTCTTGAGAATTTGGAGGCTTTCTTACCTTCAGCCATAGTCCCGTATCTGCTCCTCTGAAGCCCTTCCATTCTCTTCTGGAATAAAAAAAGGAAAGGAATAAAAAGCAGGTGTCCATATGGGACTTGGTAAGGCCTGAGAACACCTCCAATTCAGACAGCCAAGAATAATTATCCTTAGATGAGCCGTTTCCGTCGCTAATTTTCTAACTTATATTTTACTTTCAAATATCCATATATAACTTTAAGCAAGCCAGGTGATTCTAGGTTATATTAACACAATGAACTCCTGCTTTTTCCTCATCCTATAGGAAAGCATGAAATGTTTGAAAACAAGTCAGTTGATTATCTCCCCTCTACCTGAAAAGGCATGAAATAAAGAAAGTCTTCTTCTGTGGAATGAGAAGCAGGATTTTGTTTATTGTTTTATTATTACTATTATTATTGGAATCAAAGTAAGCAAACTTGCTAGACTAGAGAATAAAAATTGCCTTGCTGTAAATGACATTGGCTTGTTTGAAGTATTGGCCATTTCCAGCCCCAGAAACTCTTTGTACCAGATGGATATCCCAGTGGCAAAGAGGAAAGTACAATGTACCTTCCAATGGGAGTGTGGAATTGGGGATCCAGGGCTCCTGTGAGGACGGACATGAGAGGACGAGGTAGAAGACGGAGGAGCACGGCCACCACCCTCCCTCCCCTCTGAGCAGCTGGTGGAGAGAAGCTGCTGCCATGACTGAGGGACAGAGTCAACATTCAGGACAAATTCAAGGTAAATTCATTTCCTGCTCAGTTTTAAACCACATGTCTTCCCTTGTGGGTCTCCCAATAACCACTTAAAAATTTTTCCAGTAGATATACCCAGAAATTGGCAAAACTATGGGGATAAATGTTTCATTCAGATGAGACATAATATTGTGTCGTTCTTCTTGGTGCTAGAAAAGGTGAGCATGCATTAGAAAAGGCAAGCATGCAATGTGCCACTATAATTAAGATGATCTCCGAGACTGTATTTTATTTATTCAGTTTTAAAGATTATGCAGTTCTGAAGCAAACATTTTAAGGGGAGAAATACACAGAGTAATGAAACAAATGCCCACTACTTGCAGTGAGCAGATCTAAGTATTTTGGCATTTTCACTGCTGCTGTTTGGTTTGACTGAAAAAGTTAAAACATTACACATATAGTTCCATTTATTTATTTTTTGACTCCCCCCAACCCGTCTCATTCTCCCTCTTCCCTTCAGAGGCAACCAATATTCTGAGATACACATGTATGTATAGGTAATATATAGTACTTTTTGGTATTTTAATCTTTTATGTCAGTGATGTTATTTATGTAGCATTTTATCCAACTCAATTTTATTAACAAACACTTGGTGTGCCAAAATACGTGCTTGCTACTACAAACCACGCTGCAGAAGAATCCCCCTACACGTCTCCTTGTGCACGTGGACGATTGCTCTGGGATATGTAGTTTCCACCTGACAAGATACTGCCAAATACGACTCCAAGAAGCTTGTGCTAAGTCATGCTGGCAGCAGCCATGGGTGAGAATCCCCCCAATCTTCACCTACGCTTGGTGATATTAGATTTTTAATTTTTTGGTCGCCCTGATGGGCGTATCTTAGGATGTCTTAATTGGTTTAAAGGTGCATTTTATTCATTAACATTGAATTCAAAACGGTTTTCATAGTTCATTTGCTATTCAGGTCGATTCTGTTATTTCTGCCTCTTTCACATGCTTCTGTTCACTCAGGAGGGAAGACTAGAAATGGCCCTCATTAGGGAAACCAGCCCTTGTCACATGCTCAGAATTTATTAAGGCAACTTCCTTCCTTCCTTTCCTTCTCCTTCTGCACCACTTTCCTTTCCTTAAGCCCAGAGAAGAGCATTTTCCTCACCACATTCTCCCACACGCTGTCCTGGCCTCTGGTCAATAACACTCCAGCTTTTGCTAAAACTGCTCAAATCCTCTGACATCTTTTCTACTTCAGACGGCAGTTGCTATATATTGGAATCAATATATCGATGTGGTAAAGACGATGACGACAGTGGTGACAATGTTGATGATGAACTTTACCATGGTAATAATCCTCTGTGCAGCCGTTTGTAATTTTCAAGCTTCTTTCATGTCCATTCTTTGAATCGTTCTCCTAAATCCCCTATGATGTGATCAAGATAGGTATTAAAATTTCTATTAAAATATTAGGAAACTGAGCCTCAACTGACCTGCCCACGATCACACAACTTCCATGGAGCTAAGACCAAAACATGGCTCATTTTGGCTGTGTATTCTCCTAGATTTATCAGGGTGGAGAAGAGATTATACAGTCAATGAACCTCTTGGAACACCACATACCATGCTGCCATCCATGGTCAGGACATAAACTGAGCCAGGCAGGCTGGAAGCTTACCCTAAAACTAACAAAGGGAACTGTATTGCAAAATCTTGAGTGCAAAAAAAAGATTATTCAAAGGTAAAATCGCAGGGGCAGAAGTTGCTCGGAATGGAAGTATTTCAGTTTAAAGCAATCTGGTGTTTTCCCAAGACTTGATGATCAGTGTGACCCAAATGGAGCTCTGTGGCCTCACAAAAGCCAGTCAAAGTTCAGGTTACATTAGCAGAGGCGCGCACAGTCCTCCTGAACCGTCTTCTGAGTGGGTCAGGCTGCCGGGGGAGACACATCCCACCGAGGAGTAGATTATTTTGGACAGATATTAACAAATAATAAAGTGTGCAGAGGCTAGTCAGAAAGGATATTGATGGAGATGCTAAAATGAGTCATAGAATATTAAAAGGACAGAATCAAGCCTAGGAAAAGATCGGGAAACATCCTAAACTCGAAGGAACGTGACACGTGTCAATCACATAGTAGACAGAAGAGGGAGAATCGGGAGTGGAGGCAGATTTCTTCTCCACAAGGAAAACCCTTTTAATCTTCCCCCAGGCGGGATCAGGAATCGTGAGAGAGTCGCGGGCAGCATGCGGGCAGAGATTATAAGAGTATCTGACAGGAGCAGCAGGAGGATGTAGCTTAGGTAGGAGGTTGAAGCCAATGAGCATATAATGTACCTCCTGATTGGTACACTACACGAACCTGATTTTATCTTGACGGCACCTTACTTTATCAAACCATTGGAAAGCAGGCTCTCTCATGCTGTTTTAGGAAAGATAAAAATATTTTCTGTCTGCCTGATTCATATTCTCCTTCGCCCATCTGCCCCCTCCCGCTGTTTCCTGGTATCACTTGTGTCAGAGTTTAGCGTTGTGATTTTATAACGCGGCTCTCACAGGAGCTTTAGCAAAGGGTTGGTTCCTGTACACACTGGAATCTGTCTGCCATACTGTCGAGCTCGACATCGTGTCGTAGGAAAAGTGTGGGTATTTGGGGGAGAATGGGCTGGTTTTCAGAAGATCAATGGAACAATGTTCACTGAGAGGTTCCGTTTGGAGCACGTGGCTCAATGAGGGCGGGAACATAATGACCCCGAACTTGTCCTGTGGACCCCTAGGAATAGACTCCCGGTACCCAGGCCTCAGGGGGCGTGGTGCTTGTCAGGGATGGGGCGGGGCTGGTGCGGGGAAGTGAAGAGCTAAAACTGAGACGTCCGCCCCACCTAGTTCGGGCACCTGGTGAGTTTCAGTTTACTCATCTGTCAAATGGGTTGAGAATCTTAGTGAAGCTTTATGAAACCCCGTGAAGCTTATGAAAGTCAGAAGAGCTAAAGAAGTAGGCAACTAGACGGAAAAGACCTCCACGCTGTGGAAAGCTGTGGGCCGTGAACGCGGGGTGAGCGGTTCCCGAAGCCGCTTCCCTCCCGCTAGGAATCCGCGGTTGCCCATAACGCTCACCATCGGCGCCCCGTTTCACTGATGGGAGAGCCCAGAAGCATGGTAACCGGTGTCAGATCCCACGAGAAATCAGTAGCCCTGACTCAGCCGCGGCCTCCAGGACGCGCCCCCCCTCCCCGGACCTCCACCCAGGACGCTGGGACCCCCGCCGGGTTCCCCTTACCAGGCGCGGCGCTGCGGGCTGGGTGCCGGCGGGTCGGCGCGAGCGCGCGGCCGAAGGTTCCAGGGCACGGCTGCAGGGCAAGAAGGAAAATGGGGCTGACGGAGTGCGCCCCCTGTCCCCGCAGTTGGGGACACCCCCTCCGGATGGGGCGAAACTGCTGCTGCGGAAACCGGAAAGCAGCGAGTTCGGAGCGTGCTTCCCCCCTAATGGGATGCTTCCTGTCGGAGCCCGCGAGCCCCTCGCCCACTCCCATTTCCTCTTTAAGACGTGTGCAAAGAAGTGATGTTTGGAGCGTGAAAGAGAAGAACACGGGCCCCAATCCCCCCAGTTCCCCCGTTGCTAAAGACCCCTGTTGCCTCCGCGGGCGTGTCGTGCTCTCCGGCCACCATTCCCGGAAGATCAACGTCTCATCTCTCCTGTTGAGTCCAAGTACCTCTCACTCTAACACAGACCACGCTGACCTGAGTCTCCCTGTGAAAGCACCTACAAAGAGATCTACTGAGAAAATTAGTTATTTTCTTTGGCACAGGAAAGAATCACTGGCTTTTCAGGAAGGAGGACTTGTCTACCTTCGTGCAAAGCTGGAGCCCAGATGTGGAACAGGTTAGAATGGAGCCTTCCTCCTTTCCAGAAACTCCCCAGGGCTGGGAGGCAGAAAGTGACTACCCTTGTCTTTTGTTTCTTGGGGTTGGGTGTCTCTTCTTGGGGGTGTGTGTGTGATGTTTGAGGAGTGGTAAGCAGTTCTCTTCAGCGTATCCATGAGCTATTTCGCCAGCATGTGGAAGAATAGATCTTAGGTGTTTTCAGATGTAGTAAATCAAGGGATATACACGATTTAACACTATTTCCAAAGTAAAAAGGAGTGCCTGAAATTAATGGTGTAGAGTGAAAGGAAATATAAAATAAATAAGAACTGGGCCGAGAAGGAGATTGAATGTAAGGTATAAAAATAATGAAGACCCCAAATAATAATTAAAACAAAACACTACATCATTTTGGAAGACAACTACTTAAAAAAAAAAAAAGAGGTAAAAGACAAATTTAGAAAAAATCTCAAAATATTTTATTGCTGGAATAAGCAAGCGCAAATGCAGTTGTATAAGAAAAGGCAAACATTGCCACTATCAGATGAAGGCTCCCAGGGCACCAAAAAAATAAAAAAAAAAGACCTAACACCATACACAGAATATACTCAAAATGGATCACAGGCCTAGGTGTAAGGCTGGACACTGTAAAACTCTCAGAGGAAAACACAGGCAGAACACTCTTTGTCATAAATTGCAGCCAGATATTTTTTGACCCACCTCTTAGAGTAATGGAAACAAAAATAAACAAATGGGGCCTAATGAAACTTCAAAGCTTTTGCCCAACAAAGGAACCCATAAACAAAACAAAAAGACAACTCTCAGAATGGGAGAAAATATTTGCAAACGAGGCCACCGACAAGGGATTAATCTCCAAAATATACAAACAGCTCCTGCAGCTCACTACCAAAAAAACAAACTGCCCGATCAAAAAATGGGTGGAAGACCTAAATGGATATTTCTCTGAAGAAGACATACAGATGGCCAACAAACACATGAAAAGATGCTCAACATCACTAATTATTAGCGAAATGCAAATCAAAACTACAATGAGGTATCACCTCACACCGGTCAGAATGGCCATCATCAAAAAATCTACAAACAGGGCTTCCCTGGTGGCGCAGTGGTTGAGAGTCCGCCTGCCGATGCAGGGGACACGGGTTCGTGCCCCAGTCCGGGAAGATCCCACGTGCCACGGAGTGGCTGGGCCCGTGAGCCATGGCCACTGAACCTGCGCGTCCGCAGGCTGTGCTCTGCAACGGGAGAGGCCACAACAGTGAGAGGCCCGCGTACCGCAAAAAAAAAAAAAAAAAAAAAAAAATCTACAAACAATAAATGCTGGAGAGGGTGTGGAGAAAAGGGAACCGTCTTGCACTGTTGGTGGGAGTATAAATTGATACAGCTACTATGGAGAACAGTATGGAGGTTCCGCAAAAAACTAAAAATAGAACTACCATATGACCCAGCAATCCCACTACTGGACATGTACCTGGAGAAAACCATAATTCAAAAAGATAAAATACATGCACCTCAATATTCATTGCAGCACTATTTACGATAGCCAGGACATGGAAGCAACCTAAATGTCCATAGACAGAGGAATATGGGTAAAGAAGAAGTGGCACATATGTACAATGTAATATTACTCAGCCATAAAAAGGAACAAAATAATGCCATTTGCAAAGATGTGGATAGACCTAGAGACTGTCATACAGAGTGAAGTAAGTCAGAAAGAGAAAAAAGCAAATATCGTATAATATTGCTTATATGTGGAATCTAGACAAATGGTACAGATGAACTTATTTGCAAAGCAGAAATAGAGACACAGGTGTAGAGACCAAACATATGGATACCAAGGGGGGATGGGGGTGGGTGGGATGAAATGGGAGATTGGAATTGACATATATACACTAGTATGTATAAAATAGATAACTAGTAAGAACCTACTGCATAACACAGGGAACTCTACTCAATGTTCTGTGGTGACCTAAATGGGAAGGAAATCTACAAAAAGAGGGGATATATGTATACGCATAACTGATTCACTTTGCTGTAGACCAGAAACTAACACAACATTGTAAAGCAACTACACTCCAATAAAAATTTTTAAAAATTAATTTAAAAAAAGCTTAAAAAAAAATGAGTCTTGAATCATAGCCTAGCTCTGGCTTCCCCAAGGACTTACAGGAATTCCTCTTCTAGGGAGTTCAATCCATTGGGTATTCTCTGGAAAGAGTAGTGGCATCTGCCCAGCCAGGCAGTTGAATATTGAATATTGTACCAGAATATTGAATATTGTACAATACTGAATATTGTACAAGACTATGTAAGAGGGTATGCATTGTTTGAAATCTTCTGTTTGAAAAACTCATCATGGCCAAAAACAACTCTCGTAAGTAAGCCAAATATGAACCTCTTTAGATAAAATGAGAGCAGATCCAGGCAACAGGGCATGGAAATATGAAAGAAACTTCATCAGCGCACGATCAAGGAATTTTTAAGCTTGAAGAGATAAAAGAAAAGGTGAGAGGAGATGTATGTGGTTGATATGAATATATATACATATATATTCACTTAGACAGTTTTTGAGAAATTTTGGTATTTTGACTCTGTATCTGGTTAAGGAAACTCTTCCTATAGGACAGTAAGGAAAAATAAGTTCCAGTTCTGATTTGCCATGTTTTACCCTTAGAAAATCACTTGACTCTCAGTACATTACTTTCCTCTTCAAATAAAAGGCTGTAAATTATCTGTCATCCACACTGGGCAGAGCTGGACCGTTTTTGACAACTTCAGTGGCCTCTGCCTTACTTCCCCAGATACCCTCTTACTGAAGATAGGCAGGAGGGCCAGTGGGCCTGGCCACGAGGGCTGTCTGGTGTCCCACACCCTCGGTTTGAATCACAGCCCCACCCTCGGCCAGCAGTGTAACCCTGGGAAGCTGCTTAATCTAAGTGCTAAACCTCTCCTGCACAAATGGGATCATTAATGTAGCGCCGTCCTCATAGGGCTGTTGGGAGGATAAGATGAGACCATCTCTTCTCCCCTCCCTCTTTCCCTCCTCATCCTCTCCTCTCTCTTAGACCTGCTGCCTAATAAGATACCTGGTTAACCCTCCATCCTTGTTCCCTAACACCTTCTACCTGGTGAGTCATGTTCCCTCTAGTATACAGTTGGATTCCCTCTACACCCCCTTCTGTGGAGATCAGAGGAGGTTTATTCATTTTACCTTAGGGACGGAGGTGCGGGTTAGTCAAAGAACTCAATATCTCACAGCAGGTCAGGGGCAGAGATCTAGGTCAAATGCCAGCCCCAGGGCTCTTGCTGTTTCATCCCAGCATCGAGAAACCTCTGGGGCTTCCCTCCATTCAGTGTTGAGATAGCCCATCCCCCTTACTACCCGGAGCTCACACCTGGGGGCAAACACGCGTTGTGAGGCGTGTTCTTACCATAGTCATTTTCTTCATCTCTTACTGTTTTCTGTCCTCTCATGATTAACTGAAAGAGTCTCAAACACCATTTGTTCAATCATTCATTCATCAAATAAGTATAACTACCTCCAATGTGTCAGGCAAAATCCAAAGAGCTGGTGACACCACAGTGAAAATGTCATAGTTCCTGCCCTCTCTGAGCATCAGAATTTAGGGAAGACATTGGAAGAGCCTGGTCTGGGGCTGGGATGATACTGTGAGAACACTTGGCGAGCTTGTTTTGTCTTTCAGGACCTTGAAATGCACAGAGCAGAGTGCATTTGACAATACTCTATGTCAATGAGTAAGCTTTAGATATTAATTTTCCCAGGTATTTTATGTTAGTGACATAAGTGGTAGAAAATAAGTTTTCCCAGGAGATTCAGCAGCCAGGGGTGGGGTGGGGGGCTTTGGAAAACCCTGAGAACAAGAAAGTTTGCTCACTGACTTAGGACCTACCTTAGGGTTGTTGGCCTGGGAAACAAACAAGAAGAAAATTGGAATTTTGTTTTTGGAAATCGGAAATCAGACGTATTTCCCAAACTGGTCTGGAGAGCTCCTGCTCTCAGAAAACCACATGATTTGGCTCGTCCTAATATGTCTAAATAGGGTGAGAGTGGGATGCTCCCTTCCAGGTTTTTATGTTCCTGCCTCAAACCTGAGGCTTTTTGAAGGAAAATACCCACTCCAACATTATTTAATACAATTAAACGTTCTGTGGTCAAGTTTGCCTGATCACACGAGTGCCTGAACATGACAGCACAGTCTCCCCTCAGTCTACTCCAGCCTCATTCCCACCTAATCCCCTCCCTAGTCAGCCCCTCCACAAACAGCAGATTTCAGGGCCTTTTCCAACCCACCTTGTGGACCATTCATCCCACCACACATTTCTGCCTGAGTCCTGTCTGTGCTTCAACGTCCGTTTCAAATTCTACCTCTTCATGTCGCCCACCTGGTTCCTACAGGTAACTGTGTTCTCCCCCTATTGGCACCAACAACGAAGCAAAAGCAAAGGGAGAGGTTGGCTGAGTAACCTGTCTCTGGCCAAAGGACTCAGATGGCAGGTTTGCCTAGAGCTCAAGCCAAAGCTCTCGGTGTTTCTGCAGTAACTCTCCTGCCGCCGCCCCCACCCCCGTCACTCACCCCACCCCTGTCACCCCGCCCCCCGTTACACCCCATCCAAAGCTTTCTGTAAAGTTTACCCCAGGGGTAAATCACATAATATGATTAGTTTATTTTGTGTCTAGAAATCAACAAACTCCCATAATTGACACCAGAGCAGAAATGAAGAAAGAGGCCACAAGGTTCAGAGCCAAGAAGAAAAATTTAGCTGAAGCAAGATGTCCTTGTCAAAGCTGGAAATGAGGAAGTGGGTTATGGGGAATCCACAGAACTCTCGAATAGGCAACTGGACTTTCCATATCGTTTGAAATGGGGGTTAAAATCATTTAAAATAATTTTCAAGAAGGAGGTGAGCTCCCACTGCAATCTGGGACGACAAATGGTTCTTAGTTATTGAGCTCCGTAAAACATGTAGAATCCTGGGCTTCCCTGGTGGCGCAGTGGTTGAGAGTCCACCTGCCGACGCAGGGGACACGGGTTCGTGCCCCGGTCCGGGAAGATCCCACATGCCGCGGAGCGGCTGGGCCCGTGAGCCATGGCCGCTGAGCCTGCGTGTCCGGAGCCTGTGCTCCGCAACGGGAGAGGCCACAACAGTGAGAGGCCTGTGTACCGCAAAAACAAAAAACAAACAAACAAAAAAACATGTAGAATCCTGTATTCGGAATCGTCTGAAAACTCAAAGTTCATGTAGTTTAGTGCCTCTCAGATTTGCTGTTTTTCAGAATTACTTGAGTGTTCTTTAAAAATGTCCATTCTGGGGGGACCATGCTCAGAAATTCCGATTTATGAACCTGATGTATCTGATGTAATCAGTCCACAAATCAGAGTTTGGAAATGAGCTATTTATTCAGACCCCTTCACTGTACAGATGATGAAATTGAGGTGTCCCTGCAGCTGGTGTGGGAGAGACCTGAATTAGGGAGCAGACGTGTAAGGGGTCATGCACGGAGAGGGGTTGAAGACCTAGTTCTGGACCTCTTAAATTTCTGGAGGGTCCCCTCCTGTGGGACAGAGGGGAGAGGGAGAATCTGGGGGGTGAATTCTGATGGTATCCTGACTCACCACATTGTAACTTGCTCTGAAGTTAGACTGCTTTCGGGGCCACAGAAATATCTTCTGCCTGTGCTGAAAATGCCATTTGGGCAATGTTGAATGCCTTTTAAAATGTAGTTTATTCCTAGGTGTGGTTCCAGCACACACTTCTCTCACTGTATGGAGGGAGTGTGGAAGGAGACAGGAATGTATGTTCTCCAGACTGGAGAATATGCTCATAAACCTTCTTTTGAACTTCCTCTACTGGAAACTTGTGACATCTTTACAAATCCGGACGCCCCATCTTAGCGACTCCGGCTTTCACTTACCCACATGGTGCCTGGTGGAACCCAGGTGCTCACACAGTAAATGCCCTCACAGCCATGTTCCTTCTGGTTGGTTGCAGCTCCTGTCCCTTGCCGGGGCTCGCTTTTCCTGGTGACAGACTCTGACAGGTGATCTGAGAAAGCCCTGATCTCTGCTTTCCCCTTGGTTGTGAGTGTGGCAGGCTGTTTTCTCCCAGTGTGCACAGAGGAAGTCCCAGACCTTTGAGACTCAGAGCTCTGGAAAGCATAGAGGGAGGGTTAGGCGGTGGTGACAACTTAAAGAGACAGGAACATTCTCTGTGGGCTTAAAGAATTTCCCTTACAAAACCTCCCTCCTGGTGTGACTAATGAGGTGTGTGTCTCCAGCAGGGCCCCTCGATACCAAATATCTTGTCATACCTGAGGAAGGGAAGGGTGTTGTAGGACCCCGAGGCCTGACTCTCCTTCTAGAACTGTTTAGTGATCTAATCTTCAATGACTTTTTACCCTGTAGGCATTTTCCCCCCATATCAAATAAGTCCAGAGAGCCTCCTGGCCCAGAACAAAGAACATGATAGCTTTTCTCAACAGCTGTCCATTGACTGGACATCCATGTGGCCAGGGCTCCTCTGGGGTCCAGTCTGTCAGAAAAATCCAGAAGCAGAGTTTTATCTGAGCAAGGAAGTCTCAGCTACTGAAGGACTTGAAGCTAGCCGGTATGTTGAGGATGGGTACCTTTACACAATTCCTGAATTAGCCTTAGGAGGAGGCTTAGTCTGCTCCTCTGTGCTGGTGTCACCAGTTCTAGTTGTTCTGTCTTCTCTCAAGAGGGTCATGAGAGTGAGGTCAGCAAAAGAGCCAATGGTGCGGTGAACAGGCTACAAAAGGACTGGCCCTAGGACTGGTCAGGTCACCAACCTAACTCAAACTTTCTGGAGTTGACTGTCCCTATGTGTGGGAAGGAGGGCTGTCCTGAGCCCTAATCTACTGACTGGGACCTGCTTTTTCATCTTTCTTTCCAGCCCATTTTTTCAGGTAGGAAAGAGACCCAACTTCCACTATTTTCCATTCTTTGTTTCAGGGACAGAATCTCTCGAATTACCGACACTCCCATTGTTTCCATTCAGCATCATTGAAGCCAGGAGTCTCTCATTCTCCCACTAGATAAGCAGTGCCAGGACTAGTGTGAGGCAAGTTTGGTGTCCGGGGCACAAACCTGAAGGAGGCAGTCACTACCAAGGTCTCTCCAGTGCCAACCCTACAGGTGAATGGCCCTGGAAGTGAGCACTTCCTGAAGACTGAGGTGCATATGGCTCCTCACTGGTTTCACCCCGGTCCAAGCCACATAAACCAGTCTTGACTAAGTCTTTCACACCCAACATGTACATTTCATGAAGATGCTTTCAGTGCCTCTTTGACATCTCCTTGCCGTTCAGTGTTCTCATGCGTGCATGTGGTGTCTTCCTTCAACCAGTTGTGACTCTCTGCCTGAGGATTCATCTGGTTACAGGAAGATGCTTGGCTAGTGCACGGAGCAGCCTGAACTCATCAGAGAGCTGAGGTCCCCAGGAGCAGACCTCAATCTGTGACAGTGAGAAGTTAGTGGGTAAATACCCCAGTTTCCTTGCTTATTAAATTGTGCACTGCCCACCAAGTGAGATAATTCTGAGGTATATTCTGGACCAACTGCTGTGGTCCCCGGCAGGACAGAGACCCAGTTGTCTGTGGTGGAAACCCCCTTATCATTGTCTACAGTGGTCAGATGCTCATCAACACAACCTGGGTCGGCTCCTTTCCCTCCCCTGTCTCGCATTCCCACGGCCCTACTAGTGCTTTCTGGGATCGCTTTCCTACCCCAAAGTAACTGTCTGTCTCCATTTCCCTCTGCATTCTGATTAGATTAGCTTTTGGTTACTTGCCATTGTCTCTGGGCTTGGTCCCCTGGTATTCTCCGACTTGCCATCGGTTGTGGAAACCTATCCAAGGCCGAGGCCCTGAGACTCCCGGGTCTCAGGACCATCCAGGGCTCCGGCTTCCTCTCCTCCCTATTTCCACACTTCTTTCTTCTCCTTTCAGATTTGCATCTTCATTGTTTTCTTCTCTATCCTTATAAATCCAGTAAAAATTATGCAGAAGGAAAACATCCTTCTTGAACAGAACTTCAGAAGAGAATAATAAGTTCAAACCTTCTGGGATCACTCTTCATGCCTGATGTCTCCCTGCGTTCTCTTGACATAGCCAGAGCTCAACTCTCAGTATCCCCAGGGCTACAAAGGAATAAGAACTACCCAAATAGCATCTTAGGAGAGGAGATTATAGGGAAATACGTCTTCAATGAAACACTGACTATCTGACAGACGTTGGTGCCACTATGCACCAGCATTTAGAAGGACTATTTTAGTGTCACGTAGATCCTACTTTCTTTTTTGTGGGAGAGAGAGAGTTTGTGGCAACCAAGGTTTACTTGTTAGAAGTACCAGTGAAGTAGGTGTCATCCAGGATTCAGTTTCATAGCACAAGCACCAGGGCAAGCTTCCTAGTTTGACAGCATAACGTAAAAGGAGAGGAAAGTTCATAAGCCAAACCAGAAGTTAAAATGTTGTGTGTTTCATATTCCAATGTTATGTACAATGGGACACTGGAGCCCAAGATAGAAAATAAAAGTTCCAAGTGAGAGAGATGCAAATGTTAACACAAACGGAGACTTGTGCAAGAACTTAGGATGAGTTTCAGTTAATAAAAGACCAGGAGAAAGGACTGGGAGGGTGTATATTTGAATAAATACCAGCGTGCCAGAAAACAAAAGAATGGGCAAGAAACACTCAGAGAAAATGTGTAGGATATGAAGAAAAAAGGACTGAGAACAGAACACCAGAGACCTTCTAGTTCTGGAACCATTAAGAGGAAAACAGCACAAATGTTTGAAAAGTGGAATGCTAGCTGAAAAGTGTGTTGTTATTAAAGACAAGCTATAGAAAATATGAAAAAGAAAAAGAATCCATTAAAATGGGGGATTTTTGCTTCTGGTTAAGTTGGAGAAAGATTCAAAAGCCCTCAGCTTCCACACTGACAACAAAAATTGGACAGAATGAAAATATACTTCTCTATGTCAAAGGATGGTGGAAGCAAGGAAGCACTGAGGAACTGAATTCTAGATATGAAAGAGCCATTTATAGATGAGGAGACAGCTGGGGAGCCTTCTATACCTGGGGTAAGTACTTGGTGTGGATATAAACATTTGGAGGTATTGGCTTGTCACAGACAGATTTTGCAGAGTGGAGGAGAAGTCAGATGATCATTTGACAACAATGTGGGTTATCTAAATAGATTGGAATCTGTATGATCCTAAAGGCAATGCTAAATTGTCTATCTGGAAAACTCTTTTCCTGTTCTCATCGCAATATTTTTTCCTAAGAAAGCAGCAATGGAGAAGGGTCAAGAAAATAATGAGAAATTTTTCTATCCCATTAGGCCCTGCTAGTGAGGTAAAGCCATTTCAGATTAGAGCCTTACACCTTTCTCAGTTCAAATGTTGATTAGATAAAATGTTGCTTAGGTAGGAGATGGTTATGTGTAGTATGAATCTGAAGTGAACTTAATCGATTTCATGTTGGCTCATTCTCATTTCAACTCAAGCACTGGAGCCAATGATGTGATCAGAGTAATCACTAGACAGATAAATGAACTTGCACTATCCATGAAATAATCCAAAGCTGGGGAAACATAAACTTTAGACCAGTTTTATTGTCTGCAATATAAATTTATGTGACATATGAAGAGTCAGGAAAATAGGGCTCATAATCAAAAGATTAAACGTTAGAAGCAGAACCACAGATGACTCATTCATTGGAACTTAGGACTTTAAAATAGCTATCATAAAAGTGTTAAAGAATTTATAGAAAAATAAATATAATGGGTTAAGAATTGAAGAATTTCATGAGAGAAATATAAACTCAAAAGTATTAATTCTGGAAACAGAACATAAAATATTTGGAAAAGAAAACATTTATTGGATGGACCTCATAACATATTGAACACTGAAGAAAGGACCTATGAACTTGAAGACAGGTCATGAGAATTTATTGAGACTAAAGCATAAAAGGAAAATATAAAAAATAAACAAACACAGCACTAGTGATCACTGGGATAGTATCAAGCAGTCTAATGTAATTGAATCCAAGAAGGAGAAGAAAAGACTGAACTGGTAGGAAAAAATATTTGAAGGAATAATGACCAAAATTTTTTAATTTTGATGAAAAACTTCAACCTATAAATCCAAAAATTTTAACGGTATGTGGGAAATACAAAGAAACCCCAAATCCAGGCACTTTACAGTCAAACTACTAAAAACAAAAACCAAAAAAAAGAGAGAGAGAGAGAGGGAATAATTTAAAATTAACTAGGGGAGGAAAAACAGACACATTACACAGAGGGGAACAATATAAGAATAATGGCTGCTTTCCTATCAGAAATAATGCAAGCCAGAAAACACTGGAATATCAATAATATTTAAAATGCTGAAGGAAAATGAAAGATCGACCCAGCAAAACTACCCTCCAAAGATGAAGATTGAAGAAAGACATTTTAAGATTGAAAACCAAAGAGAATTTGTCCCACAATTCTTCAGGCTGAAGGAGAAAGATACCAGATAGAAACTTGGATCGACAGGAAAGAATAAAGTTTTCTGGAAAAATTAAATATGTGGGAAATGTGAAAAGACTGCTATTTTGATTATTGCTTAGTTTCTTAAAAATGAAATAGACTAAAGCAAAATATTAATAACCTATTGTGGGTTTATAACATATGGAGAAGCAAAAAATGACAATATCACAAAGGAAGGGTAGAGATTAGATGCAAGTACACTTTCATGAGGTTCTTATATTAATATCTTCTTTGAAGTGGTCCACTCTTAAGTCAAGGTAGAGAATAATATGTTAAGGATAAATACTTTCGTTTTGAGAGCAATCATTTTAAAAAAAAAGTTCAAAAGAGGAGAGGAAATGGAATAATTTTGAAAAAATCAACACACAAAAATGAAAAAAAGAGGAACAATGAAAATATGGGGCAACAAAGCCATCTACAGATTCAATGCAATCCCTATCAAACTACCAATGGCATTTTTCACAGAACTAGAGCCAAAAATTTCACAATTTGTATGGAAACACAAAAGACCCCAAATAGCAAAAGCAATTTTGAGAAAGAAAAACGGAGCTGGAGGAATCAGGCTCCCTGACTTCAGACTATACTACAAAAGTACAATAATAAAGACTGTATGGTACTAGCACAAAAACAGAAATATAGATCAATGGAACAGGACAGAAAGCCCAGAGGTAAACCCATGCACCTACCTACGGTCACCTCATCTTTGACAAAGGGGGCAAGCATATGCAACGGAGAAAAGACAGCCTCTTCAATAACGGATGCTGGGAAAACTGGACAGCTACATGTAAAAGAATGAAATTAGAACACTTCTTAACACCATACACAAAAGTAAACTCAAAATGGATTAAAGACCTAAATGTAAGGCCAGACACTATAAAACTCTTAGAAGAAAACATAGGCAGAACACTCTCTGACATAAATCACAGCAACATCCTTTTGACCCACCTCCTAGGGTAATGAAAATAAAAACAAAATAAATAAATGGGACCTAATTAAACTTCAAAGCTTTTGCACAGGAAAGGAAACCATAAACAAAATGAAAACACAACCCTCAGATTGGGAGAAAATATTTGCAAACGAATCAACAGACAAAGGATTAATCTCCAAAATATATAAACAGCTCATGCAGCTCAATATTAAAAAAAGAACAACACAATCAAAAAATGGGCAGAAGACCTAAGTAGACTTCTTTCTCCAAAGAAGACATACAGATGGCCAACAAACACATGAAAAGATGCTCAACATCACTAATTATTCAAGAAATGCAAATCAAAACCACAATGAGGTATCACCTCACAGCAGTCAGAATGGCCATCATCGAAAAATCTAGAAACAATAAATGCTGGAGAGGGTGTGGAGAAAAGGGAACCCTTTTGCACTGTTGGTGGGAATGTAAATTGATACAGCCACTTTGGAGAACAGTATGGAGGTTCCTTAAAAAACTAAAAATAGAACTACCATATGACCCAACAATCCCGCTACTGGGCATATACCCAGAGAAAACCATAATTCAAAAAGATACATGCACCCCAATATTCATTGCAGCACTATTTACAACAGCCAGGACACGGAAGCAACCTAAACGTCCATCAACAGATGAATGGATAAAGAAGCTGTGGTACATATATACAATGGAATATTACTCAGCCATAAAAAGGAACAAAATTGGGTCATTTGTAGAGATGTGGATGGACCTAGAGTCTGTCACACAGAGTGAAGTAAGCCAGAAAGAGAAAAACAAATATCGTATATTAACGCATATATGTGGAATCTAGAAAAATGGTACAGATGAACCTATTTGTAGGGCAGGAATAGAGATGCAGACGTAGAGAACGGACTTGTGGACATAGTGCGGGAAGGGGAGGGCAGAACGAACTGAGAGAGTGGCACTGACATATGTACACTACCATGTGTAAAGTAGACAGCTAGTGGGAAGCTCAGTGTTCTGTGCTGACCTAGAGGGGTGGGATGGGGGGTGCGTGGGAGGGAGGCTCTAGAGGGAGGGGATGTATGTATACATGTAGCTGATTCACTTTGTTCTACAGCAGAAACTAACACAGCATTGTAAAGCAATTATACTCCAATAAAACAAAATCCTACTGTGTGGCTGAGAAGACAAATAGATGGGCATGTGGAGGGGAGGGGACTCAGATAATGCACGGCCTCTAGGGGCTCAGGAGCAGTACTTTATCAACAACCCAAGCCCTGCAGAAGGCCAGCCTAGTTACACGGGATAATAATAACTGGTCCCTTAGGGCTTGCCCTGTGGGATGAACGAGAAAGCATATCTAAAGTGCCTATCGGTGTCTGGCACACCGTCACCATCAATAAACAAGTGATACAGGAATGAGGAATGATGTGCCCAGCCTAGTGTCTGAGTCACAGCCGCCATTCAACAAAGGCAGCTCTTAGGGGAGGGAGAGACAGAAGACCCAGGTTTGAAGGAGTAGCAAGAACAGCAAGGAGCTTCTGAGGGTTCTCTGCAACGTCCATGAAAATAAACTTGTTAAAAGGAAAAAAAAAAAGAAAATATGGGGCAAATAAGAAGCAGGAGCAAGATGGTAAAGGTAGATGTAAATCCAACCATAGCTATAGCTATTTTAAATTCTTTTTTTTTTTCGCGGTACGTGGGCCTCTCACTGTTGTGGCCTCTCCCGTTGCGGAGCACAGGCTCTGGAAGCGCAGGCTCAGCGGCCATGGCTCACGGGCCCGGCCACTGCCCGGCATGTGGGACCGGGGCACGAACCCGCGTCCCCTGCATCGGCAGGCGGACTCTCAACCACTGCGCCACCAGGGAAGCCCAGCTATAGCTATTTTAAACGTAACTGATCTTTGACAAAGAAGCAAAGATAATTTAATGGAGGAAGCATAGTCTTTTTAAATTTTTTATTTATTTTTACTTTTGAAATTGAAGTACAGCTGATTTACAATATTATATTAGTTTCAGGTGTACAGCATAGTGATTCAGTATTTTTATAGATTATAGTCCATTTAAGGTTGTCACAAAATAATGGCTATAATTCCCATTGCTGTACAATATATCCTTGTTGCTTATCTATTTGCTTCATAATAGTTTGTATCTCTTAATCCCATACCCCTATTTTGTACCCCCCTTCCCTCTCCCCACTGTATCCAGTAGTTTGTTTTCTATAACTGTGAGTCTGTCTAAAAGCATAGACTTTTTTTTCATCTTTATTGGAGTATAATTGTTTTACAATGGTGTGTTAGGTTCTGCTTTATAACAAAGTGAATCAGCTATACATATACACATATCCCCATATCTCTTCCCTCTTGCGTCTCCCTCCCTCCCACCCTCCCTATCCCACCCCTCTAGGTGGTCACAAAGCACTGAGCTGATCTCCCTGTGCTATGCGGCTGCTTCCCCCTAGCTATCTATTTTACGTTTGGTAGTGTATATATGTCCATGACTCTCTCTCACTTTGTCCCAGCTTACCCTTCCCCCTCCCTGTATCCTCAAGTCCATTCTCTAGTAGGTCTATGTCTTTATTCCCGTCTTGCCCCTAGGTTCTTCATGACCATTTTTTTCCTTAGATTCCATATATATGTGTTAACATACGGTATTCGTGTTTCTCTTTCTGACTTACTTCACTCTGTATGACAGACTCTAGGTCCATCCACCTCACTACAAATAACTCAATTTCATTTCTTTTTATGGCTGAGTAATATTCCATTGTATATATGTGCCACATCTTATTTATCCATTCAACTGTTGATGGACACTTAGGTTGTAAAAGCATAGACTTTTCAATAAATGATGCTGGACATCCACATGCAAAAAAAAAAAAAAAAAAAGAATCTAGTCACAGACCTTATACTTTTCACAAGAATCAATTCAAAAGAGGTCATGGATATAAATGTGAAATGTAAAACTATAAAATTCCTAGAAGATAACACTGGAGGAAATCTAGGAGATCTTGGGTTTGGCGATGACTTTTTAGATAAAACACTAAAAGCATGATTTATGAAAGAAAAAATTGATGAGTTGAACTTCTTTGAAATTAAAAAATTCTGGGCAAAAGACATTTTTAAAAGTGCTCAATGGCATGGAACAGAGAAAATATAAAGGAGAAAATCAAAGTTAGATTTTTGTAAAACTTATAAAATTAAACTTCTAGCCAGGCTGATCAAACAAAAAGAAATAATCATAAATTGCCAATATCAGAATTCGAAGAGGAACAAGTATTGGGTTCCCAAACGGACTTTTTGGCCAACCCAATAATTTAGCTCTTGTACGTATTAAAGGGATGATAAAATATTTTATGTTTCTGCAAATAAATTCAACTACTTAAGTATAATGGAAAAATTCCTTGAAAAGCACATCATACAAAAATGAGCATAAGAAGAAATAAAAAAACAGAATATTTTACATTTGGTTAAAAAATACTTTAAATTTAATTTATAATATTAGAATTTATAATATTAGGGAAGGTTTAATATAGGTTTGGGTCTGGGGATCAGAGACCTCAGAATCAGCTCTCTAACTTTACCAACAACCCAAGGTTGAGTTTCTTCATCTTGGGATTGATGTAGGCGTTTGCCTGTCCTCATGGCTCTCAACTCCCCTTTTAGCTCCACATCCTTTTTATGTGTATTGTCTGCTTCATGCTTGGAGTTTTCCTAATTTTCTAGTGAGCTCATCAGTCATAAAGATTGTGTTTATTTTATTTTATTTATTTTTTATTTTTTTTATTTATTTTTTTGCGGGACGCAGGCTTCTCACTGCTGTGGCCTCTCCCGTTGCGGAGCACAGGCTCCGGACGTGCAGGCTCAGCGGCCATGGCTCACGGGCCCAGCCACTCCGCGGCATGTGGGATCTTTCCGGACCGGGGCACGAACCCGTGTCCCCTGCATCGGCAGGCGGACTCTCAACCACTGCGCCACCAGGGAAGCCCTGTGTTTATTTTTAAAAATTCTAGCTGCATTTAACAGGATGGTGCTCCAAACTATTCAGTCCACCATCTTGTCTGAAGCGTAAGCGTCTGTGTGAGTTTCAATGCTAACTGGGAATGGGCACCAGGGGTAAAGTCTGGCTGAGCCTCTTTCAATGTTAAGCAAATTTGATGCACATAAAACAGACTATTGATGTGTGAGTGTGTCCGCCTGTGATTGTTGAGCACGCATTGGTTGTGTTACAGAAATGAGCCACGTGTTCACTTACCATCTTCTGAGGATAAAACCATAGCACAGAATTAAAGACATGTGATCTCAGGAATTTTACAACTTACTTGTTTACAACTTACTTGTACTGTACCCAGTAGAAATTTTATTGTTATTTTTGTTATATTCAGTAGAAATAGTAATAGTATAAAGAAGAAAAGGAGTTTTTAGGGACATAAAACTGACTTCAGAGATTTGCAAATGAGAGGAATTTTATGTTTACAAGTTTCAAAAGCTATATTTCAATACAAACAGTAACTTTTAAAATCATTTGGTTTACTGACAAATAGAATGCTGTTAAGATTTAAGCACTTCACGGAATCTCAAACGTTTGGTGCTGTCAGGCACTGTATTTACAGGGGAGGCACAGTGTGTGATTCACCCACTAAATGACAGTGGATAGAGAACCACTGATTGTAACTATAATATAGGAGTCTTGCATTCCCGTCTAATGGTCTTTCTAAAAATTACCATTAATTTTTGGGGTATAATTAACAGTAAGCTACAGAATAAATGGCACATGGTAAACAGTAAGCGGTAAAAGAAATTGCACATTCCGTGCAAGACACGAAATAACAGAGTTTGCGATCTGACAAACACCTGAATACACATCACTATTAGGATTAGGGCTTTGGCCATGGCTGAACGTCTCTGAATTTCCATGTACTTTACAAAGCTCTCTTTGAAGTCCTGTAATCTTTCCTCTGACTGCACAGTTGCACATTCTGACCCTGTTACTAGGCTGTACAGCCCATTGCTGTAGTGGCCACCCCTCTTCGCCATCACTAGGCTCTCAGTCAAGTCCATTATCTCCTTCACCTGGTCATCCCGATTGCTCCCTTTAGCACGGTTACTAAAGGCACACACTCGCCCCCCACACGCAGCCACCAGCTCGCTTAGGGCTTTGTTATCTGAGCCATGGATGTAATCCATCAAAGAGCCTCCCTTGAGGTCTTCCTTGTGGGTGAAGAGGACAATTGTGTGTCTCATGGCATCCTCTCCAAAGATCTCCTTCACCTTCTGCACAGCCTGCTGGTCCTCCGTGGTGAATCGGCCCAGCTGTGTCACCAGGAGCAGCACGTGGGGTCCTGGTGCGGAGAGTAAGTAGCACTTCTGTACCTCTTTGTACAGGGAATCAGAGGGGTCCTTCCCAGAAAACATGTCTGGTGTGTCAATGACAACCATCTCTCTGTCTCCCCAGCTTCCCCGACTTTTACTGCAAGTCTTCGTCAAGGACTCGGCACTCAGCCTGGACGCAAATGCTTCCTTCCCGAGGATGCTGTTCCCCGTAGCACTTTTGCCGGTTCCTGTTTTGCCCACCAGAATGACTCTCAGCTCTGATCCTCCGGCATGTTGAGCTTGTTGACTCTTTGTATATGGTCCTGCTAAGAGCAAATTTACTTAGAAGAGAAAGACAAATACCGTATGATATCGCTTATATGTGGAATCTAAAAAAAATGATACAAATGAACTCATTTACAAAACAGGTATAGACTCACAGACTTACAGTTACCAAAAGGGAAACAGGCAGGGGAGTGCTAAATTAGGAGTTTGGGATTAAAATATACACACTACTATATATAAAATAGATAACCGACAAGGACCTACTGTATAGCACAGGGAACTATACTCGATATCTTGTAATAACCTACAATGGAAAAGAATCTAAAAATCTATTCATATGTGTATGTGTGTGTGTGTGTGTGTGTGTGTGTGTGTGTGTGTGTTTAACTGAATCATTTTGTTGTAAAACTGAAAGTAACACAGCACTGTAAATCAACTATATTTCAATTAAAAAAAACAAAGGTGAAAAAAAAAAGAATAAGCTTGCTTTGTTATTCCCACACTGATCATGCCAATGGAATATTTTTAATGATAAGGAAAAGTCTGGGAAAATATACTCTCACAATGTATGGTACTTCTGAAATAGAAGCTAACTCTATTATCAAATAAAATAATGATTTTTAAAACTCTAGATTTCTCTAGGTCTGCAGGGCATTGCCACGTTGGCTCCTAGAAAAACATATTTGGAGGATGAGTTAGAATTAAAAACATACCTTGTCATTCAAAATTTGCCTATATCATCCAGTTCTGGCCCTGTAAAAGGCAAATTTTCTGGAGATGAGAGACGGGTAGCCAAGACAGTGGGTTCCGTCTTCAGGTGGGGAAAGTAACCTGACTGTTCCAGGACCAGAGACGGCTCCTCTGACCGTGGCTGGGCAGAGGTGTGGTCCCGACCACCAGCGAAATGGTTAGACCAGGAAAACACTGAAATGAACATTGTGAAATGATCCTCTCTAGTGAAGAAACTGCTGCTCACTTATGCTTTGCTTCAAAGTATAGCATGATTTTTATACAAGATAAGCACAGGATGGGTAAACAGGCGCAGAGAGGAAGTCACTTTCTTACCAGAGTGACTGCATTCCTTTCGGCCCATGGCAGTTCCTGAGGGACAGAGAGACCAGAGACCAATTAAAAAACTATCATTTTTGAGTTACGACTCATGAGAGAACCTTATATTTCTAGAGCACGTTCACAACCATGCCTCATTTGTCTACCCAAAGCTGAGGAGGTGGGTGGAAAGAAGTCCTATCTCTCTTTTACAGAGAAGTTTAGTCACTTGCTCAGAGTCAACCCAGTGAGTCAGAAGATGGGTTTCGCTTGTCGCCCCACCTACTTCTTCTTGTCTCCATGCCACCTCTCCTCCACTTACCCTCCTCCCTGAAGGACCTCTGCGCCCACTCTTGCTTTCCGTGGCCACACACCTTCCTTTCCCTCTGCGTCCTTTCTAGGTCTGCCTTGGGTCCCAGGTTCAGACTGCTCTTTCTTTTGATCCTTCTCCAGCTCGCCCAGCCCCTCCCTCCACGCTGCGTCCTTGCTGAGAGGCTCAATGAATTAAGAACACGACTCCAGAAAAGTACACTGTCCTTTAAACCAGAAATACACTTCATTTGATCCGTTAATTACTTGAATTTTCCTCTTTCCACGTAGAAGCCTTGCCATTTAGTTCCTTTTCCTACGCAGAGAAAAGCGTCTTAAAACTGACAGCCGGTACCAAGCGACAAGGCAGAGAAAATGCATGAGTTAATGACCAAATTCTTCCCAGTTAGCACTTTTTATTGGCTCTATGCAAACGAAGCTCTCTTTGCCAGTAATGGGTAATCTAAATTCCATGAAGTTGACAGGTCCTGTAAACTGCCTTCACTTAAGCCAGATGCCATCACTCTAAATTGTTTCCCTGAAAATAGGGCAAATTTGTTTAAAAATTTTTTCTTTAGCCTGGGAACTAGAAATCAACACTGCAGAACTTTCTTGAGTGTGGACTTACCTGAGTTATTTTTGAAAGAAACAGAAGCCTCCCCAGTGAAATCTGTGACTTGCCCGTTCAGCTTGAAGAGAAAAAAAAAAACCAAACAAACCAGAAAACCGGAAACCTAGTCTGCTTCTTCCTCTCTCGAATCTCCACTGAGTTTCCTCACTGCAAGTGAGCCCCAGCACATGTCTGTGTCTTTTCTCTTTTTAAAAATAGTTAAAATGGCAAAATTTAATGAATAATTTGTTGTCGCATGGACTGTCTTTTCTCAATAGTGAAAAAAACAATGTTTGAATCATGTAAACTGGACAGGAAGAAAAGGGGCGCCAGGGATGCTGGTAGATTTGTTTCCTTTCCACCTGGGCTGTGTCCCCGCAGTTACAGGTTTGCCTGAATGAACACCCCTCAACTCCTCCCAGGAGGAATGACACCTCATCCACACCGTAGCAGTGACTGTCCTAAAGGCAAGTGCTGCTGGGCTGGGGGCAGAAAGAGCGTGGGTGTGAGGGGCACAGGACAGGGCACTGTGCAGAGCGGGGAGGTTACAGAAAGGGGAACCCGGGAGAAGCCCATGTCTGTCTGACTGTAACAGTCACGTCCATCAGCGCACTTGGAAATAACTCACTCATGGTTTCCCTGCTTTTCCTTCCTGTCCAGTTCTGCAATGTCAGGGAGGCACCCCTGGGAAGCAATGATCTAGGCAGTGTCTACAATAATAATCTGAGTCTCTACATTCAGGAAGAATGACCCAAGGGGTTAAAGCTGAAATCACTCAAATACTTTTTTTCCCTTATTTATATGACGTTCACCACAGCAGGGGCAGAGAAAATGTGGGACTTAGATAGCCTTTAAATATCCCAGATTAGTAGTGGTGCACTTTGCTTTCTCTCCCAACCACTGATGAGAAACAATCAGAGGCCCCGACCTCATTATAGGAGAGGTTTGGAAACGCATTGGAGTCCCGGGACACGGGTGGACACCACTGCTTTGTCACACACTAACTATTATCACCGTTTTGCATTCTTCCACATCCTTTACTATGCAGTCTTCTACTTAATATCAGTAATCTCTTCCTAAAAACAAACGATTCTGTGTCAAAATACTAACAGGGACCTATTTCTTATTGTTTTTTATGAAAACACGTATAATGCAATATCAAATTCAAAGCCCATCGATTTTCTAAATCACATGTAAAATTCACTAAAGTACCTATATAAAAACTTTTTTTTCAGAACAAAAGCTTAAAATATTGCTCTTTTGAATACCCCAAATATTTTTGGTTTATAAAAGAAAGTTATTGGATAAGTATCCTGACAAACAACTCAATTAAAAAATGGGCAAAGGACCTGAATAGATATTGTTTCTGAGAAGACATACAAATAGCCAACAGGTCCATGAAAAGGTGTCAACATCACTAATCATCAGGGGAATGCAGATCGGAACCGCGATGGGCTATCACCTCACACCTGTTAGGATGCTATCATCACAAAGACAGGAGAGACGTGTTTGTGAGGATGTGGAGAAATCACGCGGTGGTAGGAGTGTAAATCGGTATAGCTACTATGGAGAACAGTATGGAGGTTCCTAAAAAAATGCAAAATAGGGCTTCCCTGGTGGCGCAGTGGTTGAGAGTCCGCCTGCCGATGCAGGGGACGCGGGTTCGTGCCCCGGTCTGGGAAGATCCCACGTGCCGCGAAGCGGCTGGGCCCGTGAGCCGTGGCCGCTGAGCCTGCGCGTCCGGAGCCTGTGCTCCGCAACGGGAGAGGCCACAACAGTGAGAGGCCCACGTACAGCAAAAAAAAGAAGAGAAAAAGAAAAGAGGTTTTGTGGAGGGTGGAGGGAAATCAAAAACAAGTCACAATGGCTGTTCAGTGCAGGTGAAAGTGTGTGGGGTGAACTGGTGAAGCAGGGAAGGAACGACGGACGCCTGACGGACGCCTGACGGACGCCTGACTTTCAAAGTTTCACCGAAGTGATGGGTGCAAAACAAAAACTCAGTGAACAAACGAATAAAGCCCAACAAACAAACAAACAACAAAAGACCCAACCTGGAGTTTTTCAAAGAGGCTGGACTGAGCGACTTGTCTACTGAAAAGTGTGAGGAAATGTTAGCTTCACATTGCAAAGGACTAGCTGCCGAAGACCTAGTTCCAAAGGATGCTCAGAGTTGCAAGAAGGGTCATCTCATGGAATAACTGCAAAGATTAATGGCTAAACAATTTTTTAAATATTTATTTAGGCTGTGCTGGGTCTCAGTTGCGGCATGCGGGCTTTTTAGCTGCGACATGCGAACTCTTAGTGGCAGCATGCATGCGGGATCTAGTTCCCCAACCAGGGATTGAAGCCAGGCCCCCTGTATTGAGACTGCGGAGTCCTACCCACCGGACAACCAGGGAAATCCCTAATGGCTAAAATTTTAATTTAAAAAGTTTTAAAGACATTTTACATCAAACAAGACATCAACAGAAGCATTCCACTAAAAGATGCAATTATCAGCAGTATTACATTACAAAAAGAGGTATATTGCAAGCAAGGGAACCCAAAGAGATGTCTATTTCGAGTTTCCTTCCATCACATTGCTTTGTCTACGGTTTCAAATGATGACTCACAATCGTCTCCTTGTGGAACATCTCGTGCCATGAGGTAAAGATAGTTGTCAGCTCCTTGGAATTGGACATGGACATACCTCAGGTGTGGACTGTTCTACCCACTCCTTCACCAGTTCAGTCCCACACAGTCACCCCCACTCAGTAGCCACAGTGACCGCTCTTTGATCTGCTTCCTCTCTCAGTGGACAAAGCTGACAATAATCCCTTTAAATTCCTCTGACTTTACATTACTATGGTGAACTCAGGAATCGAAACCACCAGGAGTAAAGCGCTGTCACCTTGGTGAAGGCGTGAAGAAGCCATCTGGAACATTCCAGCCCCAAAAGACGCAACAGGGAGGAATCAAGGAACACAGTTGGCCAGCAGGGAGGCACAGAGGCGTGGAGCTAGGCCAGTGTCCCCACCAACTGAAGCCCCAGTCTGCGTGGAGAAGAGGCAGGGGAGAACTTCTGTGCTCTGCCCGACTTCCTGAGGCACAAAATCACGAGCATAATAAAACTGCTTTTGCCACTGAGTTTTTTTTTTTTTTTTTTTGCGGTACGCGGGCCTCTCACTGCTGTGGCCTCTCCTGTTGCGGAGCACAGGCTCCGGGCGCGCAGGCTCAGCGGCCATGGCTCACGGGCCCAGCCACTCCACAGCACGCGGATTCCTCCCGGACCGAGGCACGAACCCGCGTCCCCTGCATCGGCAGGCGGACTCCCAACCACTGTGCCACCAGGGAAGCCCCATGCCACTAAGTTTTGGAGTGATTTGTTATATAGCAATAGATGATTGGATCACCTGAATAGATTCCTAGAAATGGAATTGCTAGACAATTGGTAGATGCATTTGTAATTTTGATAGATATTACTGGATTGTCCACAATAAAAATTTTAACCAAACTAGTTACACCAGCATTTTGTTAATTTCCCCATATCCTTGTTCATGATTTTATCTGCCAATCTGATCAATGAAAACTTGTATTCATGTGATTTTTATATGCGTTACTCAACATGAATGTGGTCGAGTTATTTTTCGTATGTTGAAGAACTATGTCTTTTTTATTATCTTCTCATATGTTTGTTACTCATGTTTAAATTCTGTTGTTAATCGTTCTGACATTGATTTGTAGAAGTTCTTTATGTGGCCGAAAATGATCGTTTTACCTCTTCCTCTTGGAGTTTGAAAATAACCATCCAATTTTGTCCACTGTTTGTTTTCTGTGGCTAGTATTCAGAAGAATGTTCAATAATCCCAGTATAGGAGGCCTCCTTAAGTTGTTTCTAACTTTTGTGGCAATACCTCAACGCTTCCAGTTAAATAAGGTGTGGGCTTTGAGGTTGAGATGGAAATTTAAAAAGTAACCAGTTATTAGATGCTGAATTTTACCAAATTACCAACACTAAGGTGATGACTGGATTATGTTGCTCCATAGCTTTATAATGCATTAAATTATATGAAAATATTTCCTGATGTTGAACCTTCTTTGCATATTTGGGACTAATCTTTCTCATCTAAGTCATGGCTGGCTTCTATTTGATAATAGTTAACTTTTGCATTTCTTCATGAGTGATCTTATTCATTTCTAAAACAAAGAAATTCTTTTCCCGTTGATTGGCCTGGTTCTAGCTGTATCTGGTTTTGGGGTCTCATTTTCCTTCCAAACGTATCAACCATGGTGTTTTTCTCAAATAGATACCTGCACTCCAGAAGAATTCTGGTTCTATCTTTTAAGAAAACAAGATTTTTACCATCACTACCCTTCACCATCACCTCTTCCTTTCTTAGGCAAGCCTGACGTTAAACAAAGACTATAGCATAGTGAATGTTATGAAGGAAAATGCCAGGGTGCCATTGGGAATGTATAAAGGATAAACTAAACTAATGGGAGGGGGGTAGCTGGGAAAGACTTCTGAGAAAAAGTAAAATTGTTTGAGCTGAACTTGAAAAGGGAGTGAGGAAAGGGATTGGAGGTGTTTCCAGGAATAAGTAGCAGCATATTCCAAGGCAAGTGACAGCACGGAACTCTCAGGTATTAAGGAAGGCAAGGATGGCTACAACCTAGAGGCAGGAAGTCAGATTGTGTAGCA